GTTGACTCTAGTATCATTGATGTTGAGGATGTTGAAAGTCCTGAAGTTCATGTGTGTGAGCGCTTTGGTCCTCACTCCAAACATTTTTCAAGATTGTTCTTGGATGATGATATGGAAATCGATTCATTCGAGCCGATTGAGAAGTCAAGAAATGAGGAACAAGGTGCCTACATTCTGGAATATTTCTTGCCAGAAAGACAGGACTACATACCTCATCTAAAAGCCAAGAAGTGTAGAATAGTACAATGGTTGCTTGGGCCAATTAGATTTGTTCCTCCAACCCTGGAGCATAGCCAAAAACTTGATGCCAAATTGGGGGTTCAATTCATAAGCTTGAGGTAGAGGCAAAAAATGATTTGCGTCGTGCCGCAACGTTAAATCAAGCGCTTGTTGGGAGGCAACCCAGGTTTATTGCTTTCTTTTATTTTTTTTATTTCTCTAATTGTATTATGTTTGTAGTGTCGATTTTTTATTTTATAGGAGCATGGAAAGCGAAGCTATTGGAAGGATGAAACAGCAAACCAGAAGGTTGGAACTAAGTGTGAGGTACCTGCACGAAGGACCAGGCCTGGGAGAAGTCTGAGTAGAGCTGCTAGTGCTTCGGCCTTTGGCCTACCAGAGAGTTTCTTTTACCCTCTTATATTTGTGATGTGCATTGGTGACAATGCACAATTTTAAGTGTGGGGTGAGGAGAATGTCTCGGTGACTTTCTATGCTACTTTAGCTGTGTTAGTCTAATTGAATAATATATTATTATTATTTTTAAAAAGATTGGACTTTTCCCAGACGATTGATCTATTAGACAATTTTCTTGAGGGATTTAAGTTTAAAAAAGAAGACAAAAAGACTTTCTTTTATTAGGTAGTGTAGCAATTACCCCTTGATTTTTCTTTGTGCCGCGGTTCTTTTCCAAGGACTTTGTTTGAACCGGGTGTAGTTAGTTTCTTTTTTATTTTTTTTAGGAATAGAAGCCATTGTGCTGTGTTTTGAATTGAAGCAATATCTCTTGACTTTGTTATGCCTTAATAATAGTGAGTACTTTGGTTGTGACGTTTAAACTCAGTTTTTGACTCTTGTAGAAGTACCTTAAATTGTATGATCTTAACTTTGCTGAACTGCTTTGACTAGATTGTCTTGATGAGTCCAATCCTTAGTGAGTTATGTGCCATGTGTGTGTTAGGTTTTGTATTATTCTGTGAGTTGCATTTGATGTCTATAACTTGCCCCGTGTTTTTGCAAAGCGAAATAGTAGTTTTGTTCAGTCTTGGAAGTGATATAGGCGTTTCTTTGTTGAGCCAGATATGTATATTTTACCCGCCTAATTGTTATGTAACGTAGTTAACCCCTTTGAGCCTGTAATCCTATTTATTTGGCAACCACATTATAAGCCTTACCCATTTGTTTGAATTAATCATCTATTTGAACTTTTTAACCTCTCATGAGCACTTGAATTGTTATGAACTTTGTAAGTTAAAGTGTGAGATGGTTGGTTTTGATTTTGAATGGAACTAATGAGATAAGGAGAAAGGTGCACTATTTTGAAAAAGTAAGAGCCACTTGAATTGGAAAAAAAATTAGTTAGTTGGATTGTTGTGAAAAATATTCCTTGATAAGTGGTGGCTCTTGATGTAAGTGTACTTAAAGAAGAATAGAGTTAATATATAGTGATGTGAAGGTGGAGTTATGATTTTACGTAAGTGGGGTTTTAAATATTAAAATGTATGTATTAAAGTGCTTAGAGAGGTGTAGTCACTCTTATATCTAAATATATCTTGTCCCTCGGCCTACATTACAACCAAATAAAGTCCTACTTGATCCTAGATTGAATGAGCTCGATTAGTAGAGTAGTACACTACGGGCAAGCCTATGATGTATCTTTTGTGGCATATGAATGTCGTTTCTAATAGCTAGTGAATTCTTTCTATCTTGAGTTCCTTATTGTTCTTAACTTTTATATTGTGTGGAACTATTCTCTTTGTTGTGTGAGGGCACTTGATTCATGAAGGAAAGGTAATGTCAGTGACCTCTATGTTAGAGTGAGTGGGTGAGTTGTGAATAATGCATGGTACTTGCGAGTCAAATCTTAAGGTGAAGATGTTACGCTTTAGTGTTTAGTCTACTTTAAATATTCTTGGTGTGATGAGTTAGGAGAATTATTTAAAAAGGTCGTGTCTATATAAAGTGTAGTTTGATTGCTCGAGGACGAGAAATGGTTTAAGTGTGGAGTGTTGATGATCGGCTATAATTACGTATTTTAGTCGCTTATTACACTCTAATGTACTGCACTTTAATTGAGCTCGAGCTTTAATCGCTAGTCTTTTGCACTAATTGTATATTTTATGCCTTGTAGGAGTGATTCTAAGCTATGTAGATATTATGGAATGAATTCAAGTGATTTGGAGCTTTGGAGTCTGAGTAAAATCCCAAGGAATCAAGCCAGAATCGTGTTTAGGGATCAACGGATGATAGTTAAGAAAGAAACGGAGAATCGAGCGGGCATACAACACATTATCTAGTAAAATGCACATAATTTTTCGCTCAGAACTCCGTTTGGGCTCCACAATATATTGCTGGAAAGCTATTTGAAAGGGCTACAAATTTCTTGTTTTGCATTTTTGTGAATTCCCATTACTGTGCCGCACAGTGCGCCACAGAGTGCACCGCATCTGTAAAATTTTCCAACAGTATGTCAAAAAATAGCTCTCTGAACTTCTCACTGCCATGCCGCATAGTGTGTCACAGTGTGCTGCGTGCCTGTACAAATTTTACAGAGCTAGAGTCCTATTTCACGCAGGAAAAGGTGTTTCGTCTGGGCCCGACCCTACTTGGTATAAATACATGTAAAAATGTTATTTTAGACGAAAGGAGGACATATTTTTGACATAATTTAGACCTAAGGAGGCTAAGGAGACTGGGGATTCGACCTAAGAAGGCAAGAACACACTAGGAGTAAGGCGGAGAATTCTTCTACGAGTTTTTCACTTCCTTCTTCCTATTTTCATTATTGGTTATAAGTTCTAGTATTGTAGTTTTGCATACTATTATGAATAACAAAATTATTATCTAGGGTTTTGATGGAATCTCTTGAAGGATGATTTTCCTGTTACGTTAATATAGTTTTGCCGTAGTATTTTCTCTATTTGTTCAACTACGTTATTATTGTGGTTGGTTGAAGAGATCTCAATCGACTGTGCATATTTAGTATCTATTACTCAGGAGAGAGTGCATATTTAGGTAGTTGTTGTACAACATCACTCCTAACATATATGAGTGATCAATACGGAGGGTTTAAAGGTGGGATTAGGGATAACGAAACCTTGGGTGTGATCCTAGTGGGCCGTACTTAATGCCAGCTAGCGTAATTCGGGAGAATATGTCTAGTAAATTGTGGTAATTACTCAGAAGAGAGTTACGACAGTCAGAGCGCTCATGATCGGTAGAGAATACTTAGATGAATTTATATAAAACGTAGCGGGAAGGATTCCAACAATTGAGAAAATCATAACTCTAGACCTCCTTAATCTTATCTCTAACCCTTAGTATCTTTAGCTGTTAATTTACTATTTTAATTTGTTAGTTAATTAGTTAAACACAAGAATCTTAATATCTGTAAGTTAGGAATTGTTCAAGCTTGTCTTCTTGGTGATAGTGAACATCTGTAGTTAGGCCTTAGTTCTCTATGGGATTTGACTCCGGACTTATAAATCGGATTATATTTGCAACAACCGCTTAGTCCTTTTTATAAGGCATAGTTGGGCGTGATCACTATCTTGCACCTATCTTGTCAAGCCCTTATTCCTCACATTGATAAGAAACCAACTTTGCTAATCTTTAGTTCTTTGCAGTCAATTGTCAATTACTTTACTTTAGTAGTTAATCGTAGTTCGTAATCATTCAAATCAAGTTTTGATCATCCTCAATAGCAGCTAAACCAGAAACTACTAGAGCATTATTTAAATTCATTCCCTGTGGAGACGATAATTAAACTATATTATCTTTGTCTAGCGAGTATCAATTTAATATTGTATTTTACGCTCATTGGTAGATGATCTCTTGATCACTGGAAACAACCAACGGCTGTTGTGTGACACCATAACAGATCTCAAGAAAAGGTTCAAAATAAAAAATCTAGGAGAGCTAAAATTCTTCCTATGCATTGAGTTTGCAAGGTCTAAGCAAGGAATTCTCATGTATTAGAAGAAGTATGCTCTAGAGTTAATATTTGAGTCAGGTCTAATTGGTACAAAGCCAGCTGGAACACCTTTAGAGCTGAATCGGAAGTTAACATCAGCAGAGTATGATAGTTGCTTCAATAATAATAATGCTCACTTAGATGAAGCTCTTAAGAATCCTGGTGTTTACCAAAGATTGGTTGGAAGACTGTTGTATTTTACTATGACCAGGCCTGACATTGTTTTTGTGGTTCAGGTACTCAGTCAGTTCATGCACTATCCTAAGAACTCTCATATTGAGGCATCATTGAGAGTGATAAGGTATATAAAGGAGGCACCAGGTTTGGGACTGCTAATGCCTGCAGAATCATCAAATAAGCTGATTGCTTACTGTGATTCAGACTGGGGGCATGCATACAAATAAGGAGATCAGTTACAGGGTACTTAGTAAAATTTAGCAATGCATTAATATCCGAAAAGTCTAAGAAGCAAAGTACTGTCTCTAGAAGTTCAGCAAAAGCAAAGTTTAAAAGTATGGCATCTTGTGCAGCAAAGGTTACAAGGTTTACAGGGCTGTTCAGTGAACTAGGTGTCAAGATTGAGTTGTGTGTAACTCTGATATATGATAGCAAAGCAGCAATCTAAATAGCTTCCAATCCAATATTTCATGAAAGAATAAAACATATTGATATAGATTGTCATTTTGTGAGGGAAAAGCTAAGTTAAGGACTACTGAAACTGAGTAAGTGAATACAGAATATCAACTAGCAGACTTACTCACAAAGGATTTGGAAAAAGCTCAACATGAATACGTACTGAACAAAATGGGATTGAAGAACTTGTTTGAATCATCAACTTGAGGGGGGTGTTGGCTAGCAGCTAAGTGACAAGGTGATAGCTAACTACAGTTAAGCTTAATTGTAATATTAACTTAGTTAGTTAAGAGTTAGTGAAAGTCGGTTAGTGAGTTAGAAGCGGTTAGGTTGTTAAATATTATAGGCTATTTTACAAAACATTGTTTTTTGAAGAAATAAAGTGAACTGGTTCTCTTCTTCTCTCACTCTTCTCTCATTTCCTCCTTCTAGATTCTTCCTTCTTGTTAGCTTCGACCACCATTTCCATGGCCGTTAACAAATTACACGTCTATGTTTTTTCAAGGAGTTGTTTACTACTTAGTAGGAGTGGCAAACGGATGGATCGGGTCAAAAATGGATAATGAAAAACGAATAAATTATCTGACCCGACTCATATTTAATACGGATAAAAAAACGGGTTAACCGGCGGATAATATGAGTAATCATATTATCCATGACTTTTTGAATATGATCACTTTTGGGAGAATTCCTAGTCTCCCAAACTTGAGGAACCCCCAATTTGAGGCTTTACAAATATAAAAGTTAAACTCATTGGTTACCCATTGGTTATCCATTTTCTAAATAGATAATATGGTTCTTATCCATATTTGACCCATTTTTAAAAAGTTCATTATCCAACCCATATTTTAGTGGATAATATGGTTGGTTAACTATTTTCTTTTAACCATTTACCACCGCTACTACTTAGTAATAATGCTGGCTGCTTTTTGGGCTGCATTCCAGAACTTAGGTTAAGCTATTACCTAACATGATGTTGATTTTATTACATTACAATATGAAGTTGAACATAAAGAGACAGCAGTCACTTATGCCTGGACCTTATTAAGGAATTAAAAACATGGGCAGCTAAGGAGGAAAAAAGAGTTTCATGAGAAGTGGGACATTACCTTTTTAATTTCGATAATTATCGCGATCAATGTAAGATTTCTTTGGTAAAATTATGTTTAATATTGAGTTAAGATCACAAATAAACATTCTACCAAAAGAGAATAGACTTGGTAATGAAAATTGACTAATGGCACTTATCCAGTCCAAACCTTGACAAACGCTTTGTAGAAAAAAAAACGGGTTATAATTTCAACTAAATTGAAAAATTCAGCACTTTATCGAGGTCATAATAGAAGAAAAATTAGGAAGTGGATTGGCAATCTTTTCTCATAACTCTGTATTGCTTCAGTCATTGATTATGAAATTATATTTTACCTGAGTTATATTACAATAATTTTAACGTAATAAGTTAAACAGTGTATACATTTCGTATACACTATACACATAACGTATCAATTAGATCAATAATATACTATAATGGTAACACTAATCATAAACATATTAAACAAATGTAACTAAATTCCAAATTTCTTCATCGGAAAACCATCTAAGGATGAAAGTTAAGGAAATAAAATTAAAGAAAAATAATTAAAAAGATAGTAAAGAAAATAGAAAAAAGATTCAAAAATAAAAGGAATATTGACTATCAAGCCTAGTAGTGAGGCAAAGCAATTATGATCTACTATGTGATATCCTTCACAACTTCACTAATCCGAGCTTGTATTTTTGCCTAGGTTATATATGGAAGAGTGTTCATTAATTATATTGAATATTTTATTTTAAGTCTTGAGTTCCATATATATCATTAAATAAATAGTAGTGCTACTACTGAAATTATTTTTTCCCCCGAAAAAGGTTTTGAGAGGTGACCAGAGTAGTTTGTTTTATTTTCCTTCAATATCTTTTCACATTTGAGTAATCTATGATTTCACGAAAAAAGTTTAGTTTCAACATATGAGCCCAAGCCACTCTTTAGTATCCAAATTGGTTATTTAATATTTACAAAGATAAAAGATATTAAATTACAAACAGATGTTGGTATTAAAAAGTCAAGCATCATAGGTTCCACTATGTGTTCATTTTCAACGTATATGATTCTAGAAATTCACAGGCCAAAAAAAGGGGGAAAGAAATAAACGACAAGTACAAAAAGATGAGCTTTTACTATTTAGGGATGTACAATTAGTATTTCATGGTTTTAATTTCGATATTGGAGAAGAAGCGAACTTATAAATTCAAAGAATTATTTCAAATCCGTCATCTTCTTTTATTTTTATTTTTGTAGTGGTAACATATTATATATCTAATATTACCTGCCATCATTAAAAATAATACTAGTAAAATTGAAATCAGACTCATGAGTTGTATGCCTCTGACTTTTTGGTATTGGAAAGTATTAAGCTGATGAGACGTTGCAATCTCATTAATCATGCAAAAGCTACTATGAAATGTGATATCCTGTCCTTATTACGCAATTTCTATACAATCCTCTCGTTCTTTAAATTATTCCAGATAAGTTTTTTTCTACATCCAGTGTTATTTCTTATAATCATTTTAATAGTTTGAGAATATTATATTGTAATAAATTTATTAAATCATTTTTTTGTTATTTTATTTTTATTATTTCATAAGTTGCATAATATGAGGATTAAATAATATCATGATTATTTAATAAATATATTTTTATTGGTTAATGTTTGATTTATTTGACCAAAATAAGACATACGGGGTATAATATAAAATCTTTGTTGATTTTGCACTAGATAAATTTTTATTTCTAATTTTAACGGTGTCTATACGAAAACCTTTTTTTTGGAGAAGAGCTTTATGAGAAGAAAAATGTGTCATGTTGTTGTTTTTTCGTGATTAGTAATTTTGGCGTTGCCATTATGGTATAAAAATAATTCTACATAAAATTATAGTTAAATTATTGTGGAATTAATTATATTGAAATAAAAAGTTCAACCAAATTCAAAAAGAAAAAAAATAATGTGTTATCTCGCGAATATTATCGTTTCCTGGTAACCAAAGGACCAGTAAGAGTGGCAGATAATTCTACTATTTGGTCCACATGGCACTGCTTAGTTGGAACTTGACACGGTTTCGTACATAAAATGCCACTCATTTCCCAATTTGACTTTGGACACCTTCCTATTTGTTGGGATTCTTTCTGATCCCTTTTCTTCTACATTTTTATGCCCCCTCCCTACGTACCCTGGGGAGAGAGAACTTTTCATGCATTCCAAAACTCTTTCTTTTAGATAAATATATATAGGCTTCATATGCTATGTGTTGCGACCAAAAACACTCAAGCAAGTGTACGCGATCGTCAAGTAATAAAGTAGTGAGTAGAGTATCGTTCCCACGAAAACTTGTGATTAACTATTGACTGATTCAAACTCAATTTACTTATTGATTCAAGAGATTTTTCATAAAATATAGAAGTGATTAATTTACTACCTAAAACTATCAAGCAATGAATTAACTAAAAATCAACCGAACAAATAGCAATTTCAAATAACACTCAATAGGAGAGAATATTCCAGGGTCACGGGTTAGCTAACAATCGTGTTACGTTCTTGGCTTAAAATGACTAATTGATTTATCTGGATTGTTGATTGACAGGGTTGATATTGCTCATAAGAATCTGTCGAATTCTTACTCGCCTATTCAAGCTAACTTAATGCCTATATGTCTATGGAATTAAGATTAACAAAAATGCATTTATACTTCCTGTATTTCAACCAAGCAAGACAATTAGGTATATGTCTATCCTAATTGCGAATCCGTTCCCCGATGCCCGGGTTCAAGAACTTGCTCTATTTAATTCTTTATACAATCTAGAATTCCCACTTTCGAGTTCAACTCTAGATTCGTAGATAGTATTTCACTGTTAGCTACTCAGTAAAATAATTAAGAACATAATTAAATAAACAACCCAATATGATAAAATCAACTTCGTCAAATTAAACTTCAAACATCAATATTCATGTTTCACCCATGATCCTAGAACAATAGGGTTCTTAGCCACACATGCTTATAGTAACAATTTCAAGTAATTCCCAAGAATACATAAAAATCAATAAAAGAAGGAAAAAGTAAGAACTCAAGACAAATTTCGTGGTTCCCAAACTTTGTCGTGGCTTTTTCTCCTTTCCCAATATGTTAGATGACTTAAAAGAGGTATTTTTGGCTTATATATGGCATACAAAAGTAGTGGCCAAAGAACGCCTAATCCTAGTCCGACTCAGCTTCAGGGACTGATGCTGGGGTGGATGCTTCGCATCCACCTCATCCTCCGCTTCTCAGCTTCGCATGCTAGGGTGGATGCGAAGCATCCACCCTTTGTTCCTCCATCTCAGCTTTGCCTAGGTGCGGATGCTATGGGGATGCTATGGGCTGACTTCACTGCTAAGGGGTGCACCAAGTACCCTTCTTTCCAAGGCCCTTCTCCTTTAGTTGGAGCATGTTTTCTTCATATTTTTGCACTCCAAATACCCTAAATCATCACACACGACTCCATTAGTCATAAAACTAATAATTAAACCATGTTGGGAATTTTTAACACCAAATAGCAACAAAAGCGGTTAAAACATGGGTAAAGTAATATCAAAATATATAGAAATATGCCCAACATCACCACCCCACACTTAAATATTTGCTCGTCCTCGAGCGAAGTAGAATCAACCCACAACCGATCGAACAAAATTAAGCGTATCGC